TTAATAACTTAATTAATTTAAGTTTTGTTATTAATTAATGTTAATTATTAATAACTTACATTAATTAATAACTTAATTAATTTAAGTTAGGTTATTAATTAATGTTAATTATTCTTAATTGTGGTTCATTAATTCATCTTCGTAGTGAAAATCATAGACGTAGGAAGTATAGATTGCGCATTTCCTATATAATTGAACTTAACATCTATGTTCCGTTATTAATAACAAAAATCCTTCCTTAATTAATAACAAAAATTAAAAACATTAATATTAATAAAACATAAGATAGATTTTAAAAACGCAAGCATAACGGTAAATGTTGATTTTCCCAATTGTTGTCCAATAAATAAGATAATTATACATATTTAAAACATGGATTAGTCTCTTAAAATTAAAAAATAAAAATTATCGAATTATACCAAAAATCAGATTTGCTTTTTGGATTAAAAATGAAATATTAAAAAGGTTAATTTTTTAATTGTAATACAAAAATATACCTTTTTCCTTCTATATTCAAGATATTTATTTATATTTTAAATATATATAACTATCATTTTTTATTCACATTTGGACAATTGGCGAAACCATCGTTTACCATTATGCTTGCGTTTTTAATTATTTTTTGTATAACGTTTTTTTTTTTGTAAAAAGGATTATGATATAAAAAATAGTCAACGTGTATGCGAAATAAGAATTTTTAATTAATGTATTTTAATCAATATATGTTTGAAAAAAATAAAAAAAATAAAAACAAACGAGCAAGTTTTGATGTGTGATCTATATTTACGCATAGCGTATTTATTTCTTAAATGCACATATATATTATTGAAAAACTATGTTCTATTTATGAAACTTTTTTTGTTAATAACATTTTAATAAACTAAAAGAACAACGATTGAAACCATTTGATTGTTATAACTCTGATGATCTCTATATAATATATGCCAATGTTAAAATATCATTGAAGATAGGTCCTCTAAACGAAAGTCTTACCAAAATGTTTACTTTACCAATAATTTTATGCTAGTTGCATTGCAATTTTATAGTCGATTTAATTAAATACATAAATACGTTTTTGTTACTATAATAAACAAATTTATCTTTTAATTTCAGGAAGGGATGAATTATCACAATCAGGTTCAATAAATGGCTATGGAAATAATTCCGGGGGAGGCGGCGGCGGCGGAGGTGGTGGTAGCAGCGGTGGTGGCAACGGCGGCGGAGGCAGTGGAGTTGGAAGTAGTGAAGGATGCGACGCAAAAAAAAGAAAAGGACCCACACCTCGACAACAAGAAGAATTGTGCCTTGTATGTGGCGATCGTGCGTCTGGTTATCATTACAACGCCCTTACATGCGAGGGCTGCAAAGGCTTCTTCAGACGAAGCATCACCAGGAACGCTGTATATCAGTGCAAGTATGGCAATAGCTGCGAGATCGACATGTATATGCGCCGCAAGTGCCAGGAGTGCAGACTGAAGAAGTGTCTGACAGTTGGCATGAGGCCGGAATGTGTTGTGCCCGAATACCAATGTGCGGTAAAAAGAAAAGAAAAGAAAGCACAGAAGGTAGATATCATATCATATTATCCTATATAATAATGTTTTTTCTGAGAACTATTATGAGTAATATGAGTACAAAATACATTTTTCTTCAGCAAACGTTTGCAAAACAGTGCTACGAATTTTAATAAAATATGAAATATTTCGTAATAAAAAAATTTTTATTTTCCTATCTTATCTTAATTTTTGTATATACAAATTAGATAAATTAATTGACTATGATAAAAAGGAGCAACTCGTATTTTTACAAACAATTAGAATAATAAATCAGGTCAATTAAACGAGCAAATTTTAGGTTATAATTTAAAATATTTTTTTATAAAAATTAATTATATTAATTTTAGAAATCTTGATGAAACTTTTCGAACTTAACTTAATCATTCTCACAAGGGACATGTCACAACTGTCCGGCACCGATTTAATTCTTCTTAGAATATGTTTTTAAACACAAAAATCTAAGAGACACGTATTTTTTTTATATATGCGGAATCTCAGGTTTAGGAGGTGAAACACCCTTTTGAAAAAAAAATTGTTTTTTCTTTCGTGGCGAATATCGTCGAAAATATAAAAGATAGAAAAAATGTTTTAAACAAAAGTTGTACGGTTTGAAGAGTACTTTCAAGTTGTAAAAAAAAGAAATTTTTCAATTTTTTATTTAACAAAATATCCCTACCACTTCAAATTTCTTTTTAATTAAAAAAATTTTTTTCTATCTGTTTGAGCTTGATGAAATACGCAGGTTTTCACAGGAGATCGGAAGAGCACACGTC